GTCACGAGCATTGTGGAGCCGTAGCAGTGAAAACATATCAAGCTGTAAATGAGGAGGCGACTAAGTGGACGATCGAACAAATTATATCATATTTACAGAGTTTAGTTATTTATAAAGATTGATTACTTCTACTAGATTTCTTCAGTTTTGTTTTTAATTCTTTCGTGGGATATCAGCGTTGGTAGATGCCTCGTAAGCAAAAGAGAAATCCTTTCTGTGGAGGTTCTAACAAAAGGAAAAGAAGACGTACCTCCACAGCATTCTGTCATGAGAATGCWAAATCACTCTCTTTGAGTGACAAAGGCTCTTACTATAATCAAGAAGAGCTTCTTAAGCGAAGTGATAGTGCCAGTGCTAGTGCCAAGAAGCTTCTAGGCCGAAGCAAAGACGAAGAATTGAACCAGTCATCGAAGGAAGAAGAGGGAGAAGAAGAACGACAAAACATCCTGTTGTTCTCTGGTTTGTTCAGCATTTCGCCCTCGGCCTCTTCCTTGGCCCCTTCCTCGGCCCCCCTCAGTTGAACTAGATGTTCGACCTCTGGTTTTGACCATCATGAACTCGAAACGAACTTTGAGATTTAGGTAAACACCGCGACACGAAGGTCAATAAGCTTGAGACCGGAAGTACAGTATACCCGCTGTCCTGGCCATGGTCCGATATCATATTACTTACTTTACGCTCATTGGCGTACTGTGCAGAAACTTGTCAACATTGAGTAAATAAACTTGTGTTTTTCTCAAAAGTAGTTTTTGGTAAAATACACAATTTCAGAAGGTTTATTCTCCCTCGGTTTTTGATTAATTACCGTGAAACTTGGCATGTGGATTCCTACTATGCTCGAGTTTAAAAGTGTGTCTGCGTTTTTTCCTTTTCCTTTTCTTTTCTCAGATATTTGCCATTTTCTCAAGAATGCCCTTAAAAACACGTAGTCATAACTTTGGAATTGAATAAAAGATTAAAGAAGCGCTAAAAGAAAAAACGCAGACACACTTTGGTAGAACAACATACGTGTAATAAGATGCAAAAAAATTTTGATCCGTTTACGCTGACCAGAAGGAGAACAAACATCTCGCCTCGAACCATAGCGATCAATGCCCAATTTATCCAAAATGAATTATTTTCATCCAAAAGTAAAATCGAATATGGAATATTTGAACTTTAAGCTGTTAGAAAATGTATACTTTATGGGGAAATTTATATAAACTAAACGCGCTATGAGCGTTCAAAAAACCCGACCCGATTGTGTTCCGTGTATCCTTAAGGTACTATTGCTAGTGATTGGCACTTCCAAGCATATTTGTTGGGGGGGATTACAAAGGTGGAATGCTGACCGTGCTGTTGATGCTTTATCAGTGGTTTCTTGTGGCCCAGAAACATATAGTGGAGAGCTATAGGCCATCAACAAGTTAAGTGAAGAAGTCCTTGGTACGAAAGTCATTTGTGGTGTCTGGGAAGGTTGCATCCACACAGGTTTGTAATCTTCTTCGAAAGTTAATACATGTTTTATAAGTCTTCTGCATTACAACATTAAGCAAATATTGAGACTTTTATGCATTCATTCACTTTTCTTCTGGTGAGCAGATTGGGGTGGAATACATCTACAGTGAAACTGGCAAGGTTCCTAAGAAACATTGCAAGATGTGGAAGGAGAACAGTCAAGGGTAGAACTGTTGTTAGATATAGATCTAGAAAATTTAGATGAAGGTTTTGAAGATAATGAAGATTACACATTGGATTCAATGGGTATAATGTTCTTTAGGAAAGATAGTGATGATAAGCAAAGAAAATAAAATAGTCGAAACTTTTAAATATCAGTTATTCATTCATGCACTTGTTTTCCATTAGATCCAGAATGTGAGAGTGCAAGTTCTACTTCTGATGAAGATGTCCCTTGATTGCCATCCATGAGAGAGGAATTTTTCTCTATGTTAATTAGAAATACATGTGTATATCATATCATAAGTTTTGTCTTTTTGTGTCAGGAATTTGTTGGGCATAGTAACATTGATGGTTATGATAAAGTTAAAAACCTGGCAGATTATTTAGTTTAATTGAGTAATGTTGGAAAGGCACTATCTAATTCTCAGGCTCAAGAATGCCTGCTACGACCCAACACTTTTTTTTTTTATCCGTTTCCTAAAGATGCAACACTAAGAAGTGCCTGCATTACAAAAGTAAGAAACACGAAGGACCCTATTTCAAGGTAAGTATGAAAAACTGTCTCTGCTTTCTTCAGTAAGATAATAATAGTTTTGTTCTCTTTTTAGATAACACACAGTAAATTACTAAATTACGGGAACCAACAACTTTAAAAGTGATACTCCAAGTACCGTAACAGATAAGATTGTTGAAGTATGTGAAAGCATTGAGAATGCCCTTCCAGAGTGTAAAATAGCAATTTCAGAAATTACCGCTCGACAAGACTCCAGTATGCTTGAAACTGCCAGAATAGATGTTAACAAGCGGCTTGGATCCTTCTGTTCAAACCGAGGATGGACTCTYATAAAGCACAAAATCACAACCAAAGAATTGAATGACAAGGGACTCCACCTCAACCGAGCCGGCATAGGAGCCATCGCCAAAGACTTCAATAGTCATATTAAATCTAATTTTACTTGATCCTTAGGTAGAGTACCAATAGAGGAAAGCTTTTCAAATCAATCCAACGTATCAATTTCTGGCCATAACATACCAAAGGTAAGAGGTTTTAAAATGGCCTCGTTGAATATTGCTAGCTTACTCGCACACATTGATGAACTGAGGAAATGGGTCGCAAATCAGAGCCTTGATCTTCTTGCTATAAATGAATCCAGGCTTGACCCTACTATCCCAAGTTCTCTAGTAGGTATTGAAGGCTATGAATTGTATAGGTTTGACAGAAATCGTCAAGGTGGGGGTGTTAGTTTGTATTTAAAATCAAGTATAAACGGCAAAAGCCGTCCGGATCTATCTGATAACAACACTGAATCACTATGTATTGAGATAACGAAACCACACAGTAGACCATTTATCGTATTAGCTTGCTATAGACCAC